GAGTGCCTTACACTGAAAGATTGGGGAAAGACTCTACAATAAGCAGTTGTAACAACAGCCAAACAGATTTTGGGGAACAAACTGAATATGAGCCCAGATCACTTCCTCCTAGAGCAGTTTTTAGTCCTGCACTGCAGAAGAAAACTACAGCTCAGGCCGTTAGTGTTTGATATGTAGCATTCTGTCTGCTGCGCTGGGAGTGAGAGTGGGGGGACTCTAAAAGTATATAGCCTCCTACCACAGATCTCTGAACATCATCAAAGAGGCTGATCCTGGAGGTGCCATGATATCCTCATGGGTTTGTCCAGCTGAATTTTGCTCCAGTGGGACTGCGGCACAGGGTAACTGTGTTCATGTAGACCACCCATTGTACTGACCCACGTTAACTTGTCTTTGCAGCTGACTCCCATTATTTCAGACCCAGAATACCTCCTGGATCAACACATCCTGATCAGCATTAAGTCATCAGACAGTGATGAATCTTATGGTAAGTGCTTAGTTCTAAAGTTCTGGATGAGTCAAAATCTACTTAGATTTTGCCAAACCGCTGAAGGGAGTGGGAGAGAACAGAAGTAACTCTTACCGACTGAACATCCATGATGCTCTGACTTCTGATTTAGAACTCAGTACACACAAGAATAAATTGTGGGCAATAATTTTTGAGGTAAGGAATATGAACCTGAAACAACAGTCTGTGTGAGCTTTACCAGCCCCAAAAGAGCAATGGCTTAAAAAGAAAGTACGGGAATTAAATCAGGAGTCGGTCTGTTTAAATGAGTTTATTCAGAACATACAAATCCTGTTTGTATGGGTTTGGCTCATGTTTTCTTTACCAGTAATGGAAGCTCAGAACCCTGGAGTCACCTGCAGCTGTCTCCAGTGCCCAAATCCTTCACACATATGTGAAGTGAAATGAATGCCCCTGATTTCTCCAGAGACATTACACTCCTTACTGTGATCCAAAGCAGATTCTCTCCAGTAATCTCAGCCCTGTCAGCACAGTGATAGAAGATGACTGACAGCAGAAAAAGATTTCAGTGTTTTTTTTCTCAGTCCCAGGCTCGTTGTCTCCTTGTCTCTAGGGGAAGGCTGCATTGCCCTGCGAATAGAAGCAACAGAATCCTTAGTTCCTATCCATACTGTGCTGACACACCATGGTGAGAAAACAGGAGTCTTCCAAGGTGAAATCAAGTTACAAACATCACAAGGAAAACAGAGAGAGAAACTGTATGGTAAGGAAGGAGATTATCTCTGCAGTGCTCACCCCAGAGAATATCCATCTCAAAAGACATCTGTGAAGGAACTGAAAATTATCCTTGCAGTGCTTTTAGTCCCAAAGAGGCAAGAACTTTTGATGCTGACCGCAAGGAGATGTATCATTAGTTCTCAGGAGTATAGCTGTGCTCTTTCAGAAAGACACAGCAATTCGATTTGGGTTTTTCCTTTTTCACCATTCAAGTAAATTCAGCAGCCTGAGAGAGCCCCCTGTCTGTCACTAATACTGGTTTTATGGAATGGTGATGCCTTATTTCCATTTGTGGTGGCCATACGACAAGGTGCTGAAGCTCTCCCTGCTCCAGTCATCCTGGGAAACATCATCAAAGAGCATATGAGGTGCTCAAGTAGCAGTTGCTTAGCTACAAGATCACAAACCCTGCTTATTTTCACCTTGTCACCTGTTGTCCTCTTTCAGAGTACAAAAGCAGCCTCTTTACGTTTAGTATTATTCTCAATGGCAAAATGACCTGTATGTGGCTGTTTGGTGGATCATGACCTTTCCGTTTCTAGAAACACACTTTTTCCTATGTCAATGAAGATGATACATATTAGTGGCCACTTGAAAACAACAGCATCAACTGTTTAAAACTGTCATTCCGATAGCGAGAGAGATGCCTTAATACAAGCAGTAACACGGAAAACTTATGCAATCAGACTCTGAGGCTGCCAAAACACTTTTTAATGCCTTTTCTTTCCTTCAGATTTTGTCAAGATTGAACGTGATGAAATTGCTGGGCAGAAACCAAAGAATATCAGCAACTTAGAGCCTAGCAAAGACTGGGATCAGAGTCACAGGTAAAGGGCAAGTGTGTATGTCAGTTATGGAAAAGTAGTTGACTCAATAAAGGCAAAGCTGTGCTTGCTGTGGGAGCAGTATTAATAGGCATGGTGAGCACTGGGAAGCTGCTTTTGTGGCTCTCTGGTCAGGGCTGGTCAATGTTTCTGTGCCCAAAGCTTCACAAGCTGAGAATGCATTAGTCAGGCTGGGTTCCTGCACCCCACTTAAAAAGAGCCCTTTTATTTCCAACAGAAAGTCAAAATCTACTCATCTGGTGGCCAGAGAGGCAGCAGCCATTGCTCGCTACTGGGGGAGTGCTTCCTCTTCTACAGACAACCTGGGAAAGGAGGATACGTTACGGTAATCTGCTTTACCTCTGCCAGCTTGGGGTGGGAAGCTGTGCTCATGCTGCCTGCCTTTTCCTTTCCAAGAGTCATAGGAAAGGATCACAGTTTCATAGATGCATTTCTTCGCAGGCAACTTCCTGCCTTCTCCCTGCTTGTTTATATCAATACACCTCAAAAGACCTCTCCTGTTGTTCTGGCAGTTTATTCCTATGCTGTGCAATGCTGCCCAGTGCTGCTATTTATCTCTTGCTTGGGGCCATCCTGCTGCAGCTTCCAGCTGAACTGCTGTGCCCAGAAACCTGTATAAGCCTCTGAGTGCTCTCTGCAGCCTGGAAATGGAAGTGTCTGTGACAGCCACAGAAACTATTCGGGGCTGTTGCCTTGACCCAGCTGCTTCCTCTCCAGTGACCCGGGGGAGGGAGGCAGTAACAGGACTCCCACTTACTCTCTGATTCCAAAGCAAGAGTGGCCAAAAAAAGAAGTAGGTGGCATTGAATCTAAGCACTCTGTGGGCACTAACTCCTTTAGCTGACAGAGAGACAAAAGTAAATGTACTTGTGCATGTATGTTCCTAACAGTATTTCTTCTCTTCAGCAGCTCCACTCCCACAGACATCAGCAACCCCAACTACCTGGGGATGGCTGCTTTTTCTCAGCAGCCCTCTGCAACCAGCCAGCTTAAGCAGATACCTTCACCAGACCAGCCACCTGCTCTCTGGAGCTACGAGCAGCAGCCCAAAGACACTACCTCTGTAATGGGACAGAGTCAGTCATCCTCCACATCACCCTCCTTATCACCATTATCTCCAAAACCATCCCTCCAGCCTACAGTAAACAGGAGCATTTGTATTCGGAGCCAAGAGTACCTGTAAGTCTTCCAGGTTTGCACTGGGGATTAGTCCCCTCTCTCCTGTCATTCTGCACAGTCATTGTTTCATTATCTGCAGAGAGTTCAAGGTGCAGCATATTCTTTCAGACTTTCACCTCTAGAATTAGAGAAAGATTAAGTGAAGGTCACAAGCAGCACATCACATACTCAAAGAAAACTAGTATTGCTAGTTTTGTGAAAGGAAAACCCAAAATGTATGTGTAAGTTTCATTCTCTACCAAGAAAAGAGAAGGAAAAGACCACAGAGTTGGTAAAAAAGAAGAAAAGGGAGGCGTGGCACACATCTTCCCACTGTATGGGAAGGAGAGCTCCTTCACATGTCCTCTGTGAAGTACTTAAGCCAAATTTCTGTGTACACTACTACACGAATGTCCAGCTTGCTGTAGAAGTTAGCATCTATCACAAGTCTTGATGCAGCATTTCCATCCAGCAATTGAAAAGATCCCATCCCTGCCCAACCAAGTGATGAGGTTACTCCACCCTAGTGCTGTACACACTGTCCTTGTTCAGACCTCTTTTTCATAGTGACAGATGCTTTCTGTGTCTGGGCTAGAGTTCACTAGTAAATGGATGTGGCACTCCATAAGCCAGAACTTGCAGAACTCAGAGCTGCAAACACTGCCTCAATCTGTTATGTACCTGACAAGGCTTCATCATGCTCTCAGCTCTTCTCTCCTGCATGTATTGACTTCAGAAAATAACTTGAAGCAAGGAACACAACTCATCTGAAGACATCCAAAGAACATGTGCCACTCACACCTATTCTACCCTGTTCAGTGATATTATGGCTGATCTTTTAAGTATCATGGTGGTTCTCCAGATGAAAGCCTTGCCAAATCAGGTCAAGTCATATAAAACCCATTCAGACATGTCATTCCAGTCGGAGCCTCAATTCAAAGGCCTCAGCTGTGAATGCACAATGACTGTCTCACCCTACAGAATTATAGTTATTACTTATATATAGTGCATTTGGGTGCATTAAGGAGTCTTATCCTTTCCCCAGGAATACCATGCGGCATTGGTAGCGAGAGGAGACTGACCTAGTTGTAAAATGCTACAGTATGTTGTGAGCTCTGACTCAGTTAACTGTCCACACAGACATTTCAATCCTTTCTGACAAAGCTGAAGATTCCTCCTAGTATTTAAATTCAGATTTGTGTCTGTCACAGAGCCTTTAGAGCACTTGGCACAGTTTGGCTCAGTAGCTTATCTCTGTTTAAAGAGAAGCCAATTATCACTTTGACAAAGACTGTAGTCCAGCAGGGAGTTTATACAGTACCAGGCATATCTGGTCTCTGCTGTCATGTTAATAATGACTGAACAAACTAAAAACAATACACAATTCTGTTCTCTCCCCCAAATTTTATTGTTATCCTGCCTCCCCTCTGCACAGTCTGTTCAGTCTTATTATGCTCATTTCCTATTCACTCTCTGTTTAAATCAGTGTCTCTTGCCTGTTTTTTAGAAGTCTCTCTTTATACTGCTTTGATGACTCTAGGCCACCTGAACTGGGGAAAACCATAGCAGAACCTTCACTTCAGGAGGAGGGACAGCAAAAGCCAGAGATGTTTGAGAACCCACTGTATGGCTCTATGGGATGTAAGGGTAAGGTGGCACCAAAGAAAGAGCAGGACTATGCCAAGGCCTCACGAAAAGAGCAGCTACCACTGCCTGATCAGAGCTGTCATCTCACAAAGTCGCAGGAGCCTGAGAGCAGCAAGACCTGTGGCAAACAGCCATCACCACCTTTCCTGGTCCCCACACAGCGATTTCGGTCCTATACCTGCTCTGGCCAATCTGAAGAAAAGAATACAGGGGAAAAGACTCAAGGCAAACCGAAGATTACTGCACCGTTAGAAAACTCAGCACCACTCAAAAAGCTAGTCAAGCCATTGAGGTCTGAAGTCAGCCCAAGCACCCAGGGACAGCAGAACAAGCCACCCCTTCCCTCGAAGAGCCGGGCAGTGCTGGACATGCAGAATTCCAAGGGCCGAGACTATCGGGACAGTTCAGAGCTGCCACACTCTGGGAAGCATCGGACAGAAGAGGGACCAGTTGGCAGGACAACTACACCGGTGTGTTACCTGTGGCAGTGGGGCAGGGGAGGAGCTGGTGTCACAGAAGAATGTTACTAGAGTAGTACTGGCTTAATCACTGTGCCCTTGCTCTGTATTTCCTAACTAAGCTCAGAGCACTGTCCCACAAGCCTATAGGGCTCGCAGAACAGGGAGTGTCTTACAGCAGTATTGCTGCAGAAGATGTCATGTTGTGAAACCTTAGTTTTGCATGAAGTGTTAACTTCTCCTGGAGTGTTTAAACTTGAGGGCCAGAAGAGGTATGCAAATAGTCAGCTACTTTGTTACTGCTCCTTTGGTGCATACTGCATTGTGCCTGAGAATGTCCAAACTTGGCCTGACAGCACAAACCTACAGTATTGGCAAAGAGATGTGCTTTGCTATAAATAATAAAGAGATGATTAAAAGTAGTTATCTGTGGGAAGCACTTATCAGCTTAGAACAGCAGTGTCCAAAACCATTACTGAACCCCCTACAGAAATAATAACACATCTACTTCTCTGGGTGGTGGTTTTTACTTTGCTTTTTTTTGGGGGGTGGTGGTGTTATTTTTTTTTTGTTTTGTTTTGGCTTTGGGGTTTTTGTGGTGTTTTTTTTGGTTTTGTGGGGTTTTTTTTTGGGGGGGGGTTGGTTTGGGGTTTTTTTGTTTTGTTTTGGGAGGGTTGGTTGGGTTTTTTATTTTTTTCCCTTTTTCTTTTTTTCTTTCTTTTTCTTGTGCATCTTGTTTGTGGGGGGTTAAGGTTGTTTTTCTGTTGGCTTAGGGCTTTTTTTTCCCCCAGGACATCACGAGCTGGATGAGAAGAAGCAAGGGGGATATCTCAGTAAATGGGCTTGGGAGAAAACGAGATCCCACTTGAGCAAGCTGTAGGATTGTGGGGTTTTTTTCTTCTTCATCAGGACTTTGAGAATTGACACTAGACAAGCTAATGTCTTCTTTTGTCTCCGCAGTGAAAATGACACAGCAGATGGCACCCTAGGAGTAATCCTGATGGGAAGAAGGATGGAGATCGCTGCTTTGTTCACACTGATGTCCTCTAGTCTGGTTCTAAAAAGACTGGGGAGTTTTGGGTTTGAGGGTGTATCCCTCTCTATGATTATGAAAATGTTCTAACTGAGAAGTTTATCCTATGTTGCTCAGACCAAGAGGAGCTGGGACCACAATACCAAATGCAAGTTAGCCTTTTGTAGTGTCACTCTGGTACTTCTGTTAAGAGGCAGGTGATTCAGTACATGCATTAGTAAATGTTCTGAAAGAGGAAGGTACGGTCAAAGGCCCAAGAGACAGAAGGGGTGTATTTAAAGAGCTTCCTTTCTATAAAAGCAAAATTTTTATTTTGTGTTACAGAATCCCTATTGAAGAGTGATACGTAAAAGAAAGCATTTTGAAAGCGGTACAGCTCCAAAAGCATGTCCTGTCCGTGGAGCAAGGAGTTAGGGGAGGGTGGGAAAACAGATACCCATGAATGTCACACACTGCCAATGGAGCCAGCTTTGCCTCTAGCATTAGCTCCCAGGCTGCATTCATGCATGATTCATGCAGAGTGTGAGGGCTGGCCGTTGGCACTGTGGCTCTTTCTCTTTCTAGCAGGTAGTGCTTTTGTACGCCTAACAAACAAAGGGAGCTATCAGAACTACATGCAGGAATGGGAGAATAGGCAGGACCCGTAGGCAGTCTAGGAGCATAGCTGCCTGAAGGGATGGACAACAGTCATTCCAGCCTGTCTTACAGCAAGCACTCTGCTTTTGAAGGACACTGGCCAGCTGGTTTTGTAGCATTCTTAATAGATTAATGCTGACCTTACTGTACACTTATGTGCATTGACTGAGAATGAATAATGTTAACATACTTGTAATATCTGTTATATTCATGTTAAGTATTAATGCCATGGTTACAATGAGGCTATGCCTGTTTGTGACCCAATCGTTGCTATTGTTTCTATGTTGATTACTTAAAAAATAATAAAATATTCATCTTTCTGATCATTCTTCATGGAAAATTCAGAACTGCCTGCCATGATTCAGCTTCAGTTGGGTGCTACACTCAGTGACTATAGTCCCTGTCCAGAAGAAAACACCAAAGGCTCCAAGAAGTGCAGGAAAGATGCAGCTGAGAACATATTTGTGTGTGTGTGTGCACAGACTCTTCGTGGATAGAGCTGGTTTAAAGATTCTAGCACTCGTTAGCAGGTACAGTTACAGTTGTATGAGTGTAGCAAATGTACAGTGATTTTACTGGAGCAGAAGAGGCCAAGCATAGGCTTGTGAGAATGGGTGGAAAAGAGGGTTTTAAAAAGAGAGTTTTTTCTGCCATGCAGGTTGGAGTTTCAAGGCACCATTGCTAAAACACCTGGTGCTCCACCTAGAAGTCAGTAAGACAGGCCATGAATTTACATTCCTCTTTCTTTATTCAACAGAGTCCTCTCTGTGTAATCCTCATCATTCAATAGCTGTGGAATTTCCCTCAACCTGGGGAGTGTTTAACTTTTCCTGATTGCAGAAGAATTCATACAGCCACAAAGTAAAACCTTCTCGGAGCAGGTGAACTTTCTGCCTGACATGGGGAGTGAGATCTCCGTACTAGTTCTGTGTTCTTGTACATTCAGAGATGGAAATGTGACAAGATTTCTACAAAACGTTTTAACTTCTCAACGATGAGACAGGCTCAGATTTTCTGTGTTTATCCACTGACTTCATAAGCTGTAGAAAAGAAAGTGTATTTCCCAGAGTTTGCAAAATAAAAGTTTGATATATAGCAAGGATAGCTTCTTGCAAAAATATCCTCCTATTTGGGAATACTGCTTAAATTTGGCACAGATTTGCAGATGAGCAGAGTTTGAGAACACCAGATTTACTAAGACATAATATAGCATCCAGGTACTTGATCTGGCCTGTCCTTTAGAAAGGTGTATTGCTGGGGGAAGGAGAGAAGCTCTCTGCCAAGTTCCCAGCAGTAAAGGAATGCATTACTGTTCCCATGCTAAAATTGCATTACCTACTAGCTTGAGAGTTGGGTAAAAGTTATCACTTGTGGCTCCAAAGAGAGCCTAAGGTAGTCTTTGTAACAGGAATGATGGCAAATGCCACCAGAAAACATGCAAAAGAAGGTTCTGTAATTTTGGAGCCTCTCAGAAAAGAGTTCTCAGGTGAGCAGCTCAGACACAGAGTGGTAGAGATGGGCTGGTGCAAAAAAAGAAGGGGGACACTGCACAAAACTTGTCTTTATGGTAAGACTAGCTGTACCTTGAGATGGTAGAGTTGGTAACACCAACTGTGGGAGCTTCCCAGACGTGAATATTTGAACAACTGAATTTAACAAGTCTTGGGCTTATGTTTGTTTTGTTTCATGTTTGCTTTCTGTCATAATGCTTTTAACATGATATCTAATGCTTCTACTCCCTTGTGTCCTGAACCAGATGAAACCTGGACTGAACACAAGCTGCTTCTTTCCCTTACGACCCTGGATTTATGAATCTCTTGCCAAACCAGGCACATTATTCTGCAAGCTCTTTTATTGTCCAGTTAAGTTGGTACAGGCAGTACAAGGAGAAAACATGAAGTGAAGGGTCTGAATTGTCCAAAAGCTTACCGATTTCTCCCAGATGTAATACCTGTCTGCAACCTTCCGGTGTCCTTTAAGTTCTTAAAATAGCTGCAGTCTTAGTGTACTTATTTCAATGGAGACCCAGCTGTCAGAAATGCTTTAAGCTCCCAGTTACAGGATGTAATGTGTACAACACAGCAACTTTTTAAAATCCTGTTTCCTGCCTGCACCTGATGCATCTAACACAAAGCCTCCGCGTCCTCTCAGCTGTGAAACTACCACAGGGCGCTGTTAAATCTCTTCCTAAAATGTTGTAGTGGGCTACATGTTTCCTTCCTGTTGAAGGTAGGGTCTCTCAGAAAATGGCTCAAGGAGGGAAAATAGAAGGGAAAAAAAAACCAAATGAAGATGAGTTAGTCCCTCCAAAGTAGCAAGGGGATCATTTTGATGTTGGTTAAAAATTACAGAGCTTAGGCCTTCAGTCTGCTGGGGCCAAGCACTCTTTTTCTGCACAGCTTAAAACCAAGCATGTAGTCACTATCCTTCCATTTGTTTTTTAAACTAATGTTTATCCCGAAGTTTTTACATTTTTCTGTTTTCCTTGTCATAATACAATTAAATTAGGGATGTACTGTCCTTTATTGATGAAGGGATGTATTGTCCAAAATTAATTGATTCCACACACACCCTGACAATGCTCCCAATTTTTATGATGAAGGCTCAGTTATTTGTGTATGATTAAACTGTGGGTGTTAGGACTAACTAAGTGACCAAAGTGACCCAGGGCAATTCCCAGAGATCTCCTAACCAATGACTCCAGATGGCAATAGACTGATTGGAAATGCACAATGTCCAAATACTGATTGATTTTCCTAATCCCTGCCTGAGAGAGATACACGCTTTTCCCTCTGGTACATTTGCTGAAGAGACTCCATCCCTACTCTCATTTGTTATATCCCTTGGTGATAACATACATCAGAAATGCAGCTAGAGGACAGTGCGTCAGGGAAGTTTAGGTGATGGTGAAGGCTTCTCTTGATCTGCAGTTGTAATTGACAGTTTGGTGCCATAAGATATGTCAGCTGCATCTGTGTGGTGCTTGTTTTGTGGAGGCTGAAGTATTTAATGAAGGAGTTGATGACTTTCCCTATTTTCTGTGCACTGCTGAAGCAAGAGCCCAGTACAACTGGAACCGTCTCATAACTGCTCACATCTGCCACCCAAGTGCCTATGGAGGGGGCTCATTATGCAAGTGATACAGAATCCAAATAGTCATTTCAACATGCCAAATTTCCCTAGTGTAGAAAAGGTGTTAGCTGTAGGGGTACAAGATGTTCTTTTTATATATATATATATATATATAAGCAAACATCAGTTTATTATTCACATGAATATGAAAAAGATCTCCTTTCTAATTCCACAGAGTGCATGTGGTGTTGTTTCAAATGTGTCTCTTAATAAGAAATATTTTAAGATTGCATTTGTGTCAAAACTTGTGAAGTCTTTCAGAAGCTCTTTC